CGATTTAATTCTAGATTATGTAAATAGTGGGGTGTATTCTGAATATCGAAGCTTTAAGTGTTAGTAATAATTATCGTAAACAGAATAATCGATATTATTATAGCAAACACAAACTAGTTTATACAAATGATTCGTGTCAACAATAAGGTTTTTGAAACTTTTACGATAAAATATCACTTTCACTTAGTGATTCGATACTCGAATATACTCCACTACTTTTAATTCAGTTTTTTTTTTGACTTTTAACAAAAATATTTTAAAAGTCAAACTGCAAAAATGATTTACATGAAATGATTGAATGCATAGATTTGTATGTATATGCCTAAAAATATCCTCTCTTTTGAAAATGTTTCCATATACATTTATTCCTATCCTAATTTCTTTTTGACTTTTGGAGCAATTAAATTTACACTAACAAATCCTACAAGGATAATTTGTTGGTAAAGCAAAATTTTTATAATATGTATGGATGCATATGTCATATCATGTGTATGTACATATAATGTATATGAACCCAAGTACTATAAAAAAAAAAGGAAAGTAAACAATGAAATTAAATTTATAAATAACAAAAAAATATACTTAAAAAATGTGATTTGGTCATTATATATATATTATATAAGGTGATTCAGAAACTAATTAGGAGCCGCATACCATCGGGTAGAGGATCGAATATGAGTAAATTTTTTGTTTGGAACGTAGGTAGGAACCGTTTCTGAGCAACAAGCATTTTAAGAAAATTAGGCGAGATTTTAGTATATGTAAGTTGTTTTTATTTTTAGCTTCTGTTTCGAAATAGTTTGAAACTTCAAATAAACAGTTTTCAAATGAGCTATTAGAGAGCTTAGAATAAAGATTTTTTTTTAAATACAAACATTCGAACTTTAGAAAAACTTCAATTTTAGTCATCTTTTATACTTACATATTTTGCTATTCATTTCTTATAAAATTTTTTGAAACCTCCAAAATCCCTTTAACACAATGTTTCGAACAAAAACTTTCTAATCATACTGTATATATATGTATTCATGTGTGTGTGTGTGTATAAAAATTAAATTGAATAATAATTTTATTTTTAAAAATTAATTTAACAAAAACACAGACACAATTCTCAACACTATTACAATACGAGTATAATATGATCGTCTCGCTTAAAAGTTGTTTTTATTATCTTTGAAGTTTGAACTTAAGCTATGTAAGTGTTGCCAAATTATATTTCATCAGCATTTGTGTCGTTATCTTTTATAGTATTTCCGTTTTTTATGTTTTAAGTTTTCTGTTTATTGTCATTTGCACCGTAATACTTACATAGATAGTTTTACATACAACAATATAATGAATTCAGAATATCGTAATTGTTACTGTATAACATAGTAAAATATGTAAATTTATTAAAACTTTAATAATATTATTAAAAATTTGTTAATAGTATTTTGAAGATCTGCATTGGTGTTTAAAAGGCACAGTAAGTTTATTATGAATAAAAACATTGTTGATATTATACTTGCGTTACACATTCAGATTACAATCATTAAGCAAAAAATTCTTATTCTTATGATAATAATATTGTTATTTATCAAATTTTAATTTCTTTCCTTACATTAGCATTCGGTAGGGATCAGCAAAACATTAGCACTATATCTAGACCTTTATCAGGGTCTCAAGGCTCCTTCTAAAGCATATCGGCCGAACCTATCTCTTTCAGATGAATTCAGATGTATCCAAAGAGTACACCCACGAATAGTCTCAAATCCGAACGACCAAGAGAGGGCAGTTCACGCTCCCTCAGCCTGGAAAACTTTCGCAATGTTCGACCCGGGCACGTTTCTTCTAACAAATCATGGCAGGCAGTATCCTTGGCACTCCAAACCATTGCTCCGGCCCAATGAAAAGAGTTTACGCTTCATCTCATGGCGAAATCATCAGTTCTCTCATTTCCGTCGATGCCATAATATCCCGGATCGCGCATTAAAATTACCTTTTTACGCCTAGTCAGGACGTTAAGAACATCAAAACATTCCAGTAGCACTTTGGATCGCACTACATCAGACGTCTAAGAACAGTCCTACTGCCTGACATAATAAAGATCCTGCACTTCTTGATATTCCTTGTGATACACTGCTTGTGGTGTCATATGTGTCAGCCTGAAATATTGATGGATAGTGTCCGACGGCAATCGAGATATTTACGCCCTCGCCGTACACATCCCCGCCCACTTCTTCTTTGGTTTTAGATCCATGTGTGTAGAAGATGACGGTTGCAACACCCAGTTGCTACACGTATCGTCCCAGGTCTGCTTTTTGAGCAGATCCACAACATGAAGCCTTACTACGCTTTTCACATAAAGTCACCAGACCCATAATTATGGCCCCCCAAAGACACGGGATAAACTAAATTTCCGTCGTCTAGCAAATGGCACAATTATAATCTTGTTAGGGTTAATGCAAAGGTTGCCGGCTCCTGTCCAGTCCAGGAAAATATTTAGGGCCCCTCGCATTTGGTCAGCTACGGCGTCAACAGTTTTAATAAAAACAAATTGTTTATCAAGCATTTTTAATTAATATTTTACTCAACAGCACCAACACAATTGAGCTGGTACTGTAAAATAGATACACTATACAAGGTATTATAACATTGTGTTCTAATCACCTTAAAGCTTTTAACTTTAGAATATTCAATTGGTACACATAACTGATAAAACTTACATAAAGGTAAATACACAGCAGCCACTTTAATATTATAATAGAAAATTAAACTAATTGCAATTTGAGAGATGACACGAGAGAATAATTTCACTCAATTGCACAATTCGAGCTTGTTTTAGACATAATTATGTATGTATGTATGTATGCATGCACAATTTTCTGTACGCTCTGTATCAATTCTCAATGGAAGTATGTGTGCAACTGCATGCTTACGTAAAGTTCAGTTCTTTAGTATACTGAAATATTTGATTTTCTTGTGGATGCAATTGCATAAAAATATGAAAAAATCGTAAAATTACCGACGATATCCAAAAACGAGAGAAAAGAAAGAAAAACTTTAATTTTTCATGCATTATGAAACGAAACTGTACAATAAAATTTGTCGTATTCCTATTATGTACGACATTACATTGTGCAAATTTTTTTTCTCTTTCGGCTTTAGATTTTTCTTATGTGTATGTACGTTAAAACATATGTACATCCATTTTCTCTTAAAATTTATGAAATTAATTGTCAACAAAAGTCAGCTGACTGAAGGCCATTTTATTCTTTGTGTGAGTGCGTTTCTATTTCGATGTGTTCGAAAAAATATAAACAGCAATAGTGTGTTAGAAACCATTATACATATGTATGTATATATGCATTCAAATTTTACATGTTTGCAAAATGAAGAAAATTGATATTAAGAAAGAAATAAAGATTTGAAAATTAGAGAAACATCATTAGTGTGCGTAAGATAGTACCAACACTACCATAAACTCCTATAATATACAGATGGCTGTGATTCTACACATTACACTTGCTAATTAAAGCTTTTATAAAATTACCTAGCTTTTATAAAAATTTTACGTAGTGGTAGTGCAAAAACGGCATCATAAGAATTTCTTTTGTGTGGGGATATTTGCGTATACATTTGTGTGACTTTTAGAAACTCATTTTTTTTCAAACAAAAAATTTTTGTTTTAATAAAAAGACTAATACAAAAAATGTTTCTTATAATGAATTACTTGAAATATCAATTATATATTGAAAAACAGGAAAATAAATTAAAGTTTTTAATAAAACATATTTAACTAAATTTGTAACCAGCTGGTTTTCACATACATATGTAATAAACCAACCCAATTGCATACTTATTTACATGTGTTACGTTCTTACAATGGTTATTCACTTTCATTTCACTACTTAACCAGCTGATTCAAGTATGTGATTTAGTGTTTCTTAAAAATTATTATTTTTGTTCTAACTTTGATCATTTTTTAATTAGTCTTGTCTCCCTTAATAAAAACGGAGAGAGAAATTAATTAAGTCTATCATTATTCGACATCTGTTTGTACAAATTTCAAATGGTTTTACAAGGTTTCAAAAAAATGTGATTATTTTGGACAGGACATGTCAAGCCTAACGAATTATTTTAAAAACTGATTCCACTCTTAGTTCTTAAAATTAGAAGATCTACAAGATAATAATTTTTATTTTCTTAAAGATAATAATTTTTATTTTCTTATATGATACATGAAATTGCATCGAAATGAGAAAGTATGTACATATAAGTACATAATTGATAAGGAAAATCCTCCCTAAGCACACATTTTATTATATAATTTGTATGCATGTATGTATTTCAATCGCTGATATCGTTGTCCATAGCATACATAAACTATTGCATTAGATTTTATTCTTAAATTTTTTGTCTAGTGAAAAGGCATTAGCGGATAGTTTTGAAAGTGTGAAAAAAACAAGCATCTTAAATTTGTTAACATCTTAAGAGTCTGATCGCGTACCTCGCTACTTTACTCGTAAGGTGAGAAGAATTATTCGGTATTGCATATCTCGTTTTTACCTAAAATTAATACAAAATTTGTTTTTGAAAGTAAGACCTTCAATCGATATTTTGAGAAAAAATGCAAAATCCAATTAAAAAAGTAAGTAATCTTATTGGAAAAATAAAATATCCATTAGAAAAACAAAGAATTCTGATTTAATAGTGAATAAAAGGTGAAATGAGGAAGAACTGACTGTAAGACTGGTATGAATTAAATTTCGTACAAATAAAAAAAAATAAAGCAATTTTTCTGAATTCGGGGAAAAAAATATGCAGTAAAAAATTCAATATTTTACAGTCTCTTTTTTTCTTCCAAAAGTGTCCACGCTTTATACTTCTAGAAAGTCATTGACTATTAAATCATATGTAAACATATTCAAGAAATAATACCAAACATGTGTTTGTATAAATATTATGTAAAAAATATTTTTTAAATACAAATGTGTGTGTGAGTTCGTTTCAATACTTACATGATTTCACGTAAATTTGGTTCTAATAATGCAAAGAGCGTCGTATATGTTTTACATCGAAAGCTTTGATTTTTTAACGAATTGCTTTTAGATACTACAAACTACACCAACGAAAATCACGTAAAGAAAGTGAAAATTACACGTTTTTTTATTAATTGAACAATAAAAGGTAAAAATATCTTCCCTTATGAAATGTTCTTTTATAATAATGTATGTATGTAAGTCAAATGTTAAAACTTATATCAATATAACAAAAAAAAAAACACAATTTGGAACGAAAAATTAAATCAAACCAAGCAAAAATGTCAAAAAATACACAAAAATATGCAATTTAAATTTGCTCAAGTTGAGTTTGTGTTATTTCGCGTCGATACATAGGCATAGGCTTCATATAATATAAAATGACGTAAACAGCTTAATTTAATTTTTATTTTAATGTATAAGAACATTTTTATGATTTAAAATTATTTTAATATTAAAAATTACGAAATTTTGCACAATATATTCAATAGTTTTTTTAATAAACTTTTTATTTTAAATTTTTACATTAAATATTTCTTTTTTTCGTTTTAAAGAAATTAATTTGCGCACTTATAAAATTATATTAATATAAAAATAATATAAATTCGATTGAAAAAATAAATGTCATTGTCATTTTTTACTCCACATCACCATCAGCGCCATCAAGTAATAAAAAATATATTTATGTTTGCATGATTCTTTTCTTAATTTATATGAGTTTTATTGAAATTTCACAGATTTATTTTAATAATTTTATTCATAAATTTAATTTTTTCGTCGGCTCACATTATAAAAATTGTAGAAAGAAAAAAACTATAAGAAAAATAAAACAAAAATATAAGAATCACTTTTAATTATCTTATAAATCACGTCTATAATCGCGAACATCAAATTTTTAAGTGTTCAATAATTGTACAACATAATCGTATACCTACTACACAAGATAAATGCCAAAATTTTTTACCAAATACGAATACCAAAGCAATCTAACTAACACTACTTTCAAATGGGCTCTCATTTTTCTAAATGGACTTCCATATACAAACATAATAATATGTTTAATTGTAGAATACATTTAAGTGCCATTTATGTTTTTTAATATGAATTTTATTAAATACTCACACAACAAACCTATGCAAACATATATTTAATTTACGGTGCGAATACAGGCAACGTAAAAAACTCCATGGACATTACGAGAAAAAGGAGATATTATTATTTGAAAGCTCAGATTGAAAATATGTATGAGATTTGTAATAATAGTCCTTAAAAATTAAAATACGTACCTTAGTGGAACACACGCGTACTGTTTGAAAAAAATTTTTTAAAATAATTTTCCTTGAAAACTTTAAAAGTTTAAAAGACAGTGTTCTAAAGGCATTGTTGAAAGTCACTTTTTTAACAACTTATAAACAGCCTAGAACTCCACATTTCAAAATATGTATACATGTGTGTATATTTATTAGAATATTTTAGGCATACATATGTTATCCAAATTTAGTGGATTTGTTCTTTATTCATTTCAAATAGGTAATAGGTAAATTGTGGGATTAAATATTTTACTTTTGTTTTTTAAATGAATACTGCCTTTATGTGCAATGACAATAATTTTTTAAATGCGTTACATGCATACAAATAATTTTGAACTGAGAACAAAGTTTCTACTCTAAAAATTTATAATAATACCTCGTTGCGAGGACGCTTAATTTAACGCGGTTCCGCCGTTGTTTCACTTTAGGGCTGTAATTTTTGGTTGTGAAAACGAGATAATTTATAAGAATTAATATTTGTAATGAAATTTAATGTTTATTTTAGTTTTATAGGTACTTAGTTTTGGAGGAGGATGAAAGCAAAAATCAACAAGATTTTAATTCATGAGATCAATAATTATGAACTAAATATGCAAATGGACCAAATATTGGGAATTCGGATTCAACATACATATGTATGTACATTATGTATGTATATTATATGTACATACATATAATAAAATGTGTTAATGCATTATTGGATTTTATTATATGTGTATGGACTTTTGCTTCATATATTTTCTTAAATTCTTCAATTTAAAATAATTTTAATAATAATTAATAACGTAGCGAAGCTTAATTTAAACATTTGTAATGACAATATTGTACTATTGCAACTTTCAAAGTATTTTGCAAAAGAAAGCTTATTTATACAGGCATTGTATATGTAGGTAGATTTGTATATGCAAAACAACATATTATAAACTTTTTTATGAAATGCATATTGCGCAATACGACCCTGACCTTGCTTCGGTCAAAGTTAAAATATTTATGTGGTGGGAGTCGAATTTTGTTAATAAATTGTACTTCATGTTGTATATACATATGTATGTATTATTCTTCATGTAAAAAATATTATGGAAATGTACATACACAGCAATATGGATACATAATTTTTAAATATATGTACATATACGTTTATAATATTCATTCAATTGAAATATGTTTCCGAACTTAAACAAGCAATAGCAACATAACCTAGAACTTGAAGGTAAATATTTTGATATTTATCTTTCAAATGCAAACCCTGTGAGCACATATATGTACCTACATACATATATATATGTAACTATAATATGTTGCTTAAAATTAGGAAAAAGCTTCGCGAACGTAAATATTGTATTTTATACGTAATTTGCATTGTATACCAAGCAAAATATTGCAATAGTATGAGTTCTAATAAGTCTAAGAAAATAAATTGAAAAGAAGTAAAACCTAAGGATGTAAGATAAACTTTGTAAAAGCCATACATATGGATATGTATATACATATGTATATCAAATATTTATTATAATATTATGATATTAATGTTTTTTTTTTCAATTCATTAATTAATGGTTTCAATAGGATAAAATGCTATTATGTAGGTATTAGGTATGCCATATCGTACATTAGGAAGAATAACGACAAGACTGAAAAATATATCTTCAACTTCCGGAATTTAAAGTATTTATAGCCAAGTATAAATTACTATCGAAGGCGAAATACGTTGGTATAGAACTATTCTACAAGTATATAAACAAATTTTCTGTATAATTTTGTTTCGGAAAAGCTTTAAAGTTAAAATATAATAGTAATAAAGACAAGGCGATATAAGTAGGTAATAGGACATATAGCCTATTATATAGAGGATAGAACATGTTATATGCATATACATACGTACCTATGTTAATTCATCTTTAACAAAATTTTATACTTTTCATTTCAAGGTTTTGTCACTTTCATTTTGTATTCATAAATTATATTTTTGGCATTCCAACATTTTTAAAAGGGTTCAGTTAAAGCATTGACATAAGAAAAATATTTTTCAGCCGTGGGTTAAAGCTCAAACTTCGACAAAGGAAAATACACAATCTGCTGACTATATCTGGAAATATGACGTCATCCGGGAGAAAGTGTTTGGAGCATGATATTGTTTCATAATATTATTATCTTTTCAATAGTATTGTATTTCTTAGTTACAGTTTTGGACAATAATTGGCATGAATAACTCGTACCGTTACATCCGCATTTTTAGCTGTTCACATTACTGTGACATTTTGACAGTGATAGTTGCACGAAGTGGTAAAATATTTAATGCACTGATTTAAATCTGGTAGTTGTAAAATTGAATACATAGTTTGTTCTATGATATGCGATTACAAGTGAATAATAATAAACGTTATTATTAATTTTATAATAAACACTTCAGTATTAAAAACAAAAAGGTAAAAAATTGACTAAAATGTAATTGCAAAAACTAATAGAATTTGTAAAAGTTAAACCTAGTTAAAAAGAGTTATAAGAGTAAAAATTAAAAAAAGTAAAATATTGAGACGAAATATACGGTCGTTATCGTATCAATTTAAATTAATAGAAAATTGTTTTACGCAGCCGTCGTATTGTGACAGCTGTCTGAAAGTGCATTTGGCTTACATTTAAAAGCGCAATCATGAGTGCTAAGCCAAAGACACGGTATGAAGTGTGTATATTTACCTTCGCAGAACCAATTTTTTTTAAACATCTCGTATTATGTCCTTTTGCGTTTAACATTGAATAAGATTCTTAAGAACTGTGCTGAAATCCGCGACAAACGCAGTTGTTGGATATATGAAGCTTCTCGACCATTCTTAAAAACGTTTTTCCAATTCAAATTGAACTGGTCCAGTTGCAAGAGCAAAATTAAATTGTAATATACATATTAGTTATAAACTACACTTATTTAAATTTCACTCATAGAACTGCATATCGTAACAAGGGTTTTATAAACTATATTCAATCCATATAGAATTTTATATTCAATTTTTTATTTTCCTTTCAATTTTAAATACAAAATAACCATAAGAACATAATATTCTAGTTAAAATTCAAAAATAATAAAAAGATGACTTTTTTTTAATTGGTTTTCTTAGTCCTCGTTCGTAATTTAGGACCACTACTGTTAATTGTAGAATTAGATTCAACATCTGATAGATTTTTTTGATTCTCTTCATCTTTCTCAGAAATTACGTTTAATTTACTTTTATCTATTTTCTTTTTCCTGGGTGTTCTGTTTGAAGTTGTACTTTTTAAAGAACTAACGGTGCTTTCACGATCTTCGTTATCGTCCTCGTCCTCCGCAAAAACATCATCCTTCAAAATTTTAAAGTTAAATAAAATTATATTACAAGAATACTAATTTTTACCTTTGCTTTCGCGGAAAGCCTACTTGAATGTCTAACAGACGTGGTCGATTTTTTGCTTCTGCTTGATCTAACTGAAATAGCGTCATCGCTTTTTGATGGTGATTCAATTTCAATTGTTTCATCCAAATCCATTCTGCTTTGTCTTTTTTTTAGTGGAATTGTTCTTTGATCAATAGCCTTTATATTCGCAGATTTTTCTAGTAAATTTTTTTGCGTTCTTGTTAGACGTCGTTGCATCGAGTATGTTTCAGTTTCATTTATACTTTTGTTAACGGAAGTGTCAGCCTCCATGTAGTCACTTTGATTGTTTATGAAACCAGAAATATTTTCTGATTCTTCATCATAAAGTGACTTACTTAGCGTGTTTTCGTTATGAGATAATCGTCTTGAAGTTCTTTTAACGGGAGTATTTTCTTCATTTTTTTCAGAGTTTTCGCTTTTGATTGAAGGAGATAATTCTTTTGATAAAGATACACTTCTGGTGCTTCTTCTTGGAGTTAAAACCATTTCCCTTAAGGAACTTGAAGCTCTTCTTGTACGAGGCGATGAAATTACATCTGGGTTTTCAACAAACATCGAGTTTCTTCTTTTTGTTTTAATGAGAGAATCTGGAGATTCCTCATTGTTTCCCGTTGTATCTGTATCCTTATATAACGATAATCGTCTTGAAAACCTAGTAGGCGTATGAGTTTTACCCTCCTCTTCCATTGCAGTTATATCCTTTTCTAAAGAGGCACCCCGAGAAACCTTACGAGATTTCTTATGCGATAATATTTTTCCATCCAACTCCTCAGAATTTTTTAATTTTTTGGCAGGCGTTGTAGGTGGTGATAATTCAGAATCAACATGTAGTTTAAATGAGCTTTCGCTTTTATATTCGCTAGAATCATTACGTTTTCGTGCAACAGGCTTCGTTTTGGAACTTTCTAAATTAGGTTCCTCTTCGATTCTATCTAAAAGACGAGATTTCCTTCTAGTTATAATAGTGTTTGGTGAAGTAGTTTTCTTTATTTTTCTGAATTTTGAAGTTGATTCATCAGGCTGCTCGGACACTGCACGTTTTGGTCTAGGCGAGTGAGTCAAACCACTATGGAAAAGTTCTCGTTCTGTAGATTTTGCGCGAACTTTATTGCTAATGACCTCGGGCGAAACAGCCTTTGTTTTGTCAACAACAATTTCAGTGTTATCCTCAGGAATATGCGATGGATTTGGTTGTGTAGAGCTTCTCAACCAATGAGAATTTTTACCTGTAAGAACCGGCTCTGTGGAGTTTGCACGTTCATTTCTTTTTCCTGAAATTTCTATAGAAATATTTTTTTGAGTTGATAATGGAAATGAAGTTTTTAGAATGTTAATTGGTTGTTCTGAATGAGCCCTGATGTTCCGAGAGGCTGATTTCTTTAAAATTTCATCATGTTCACTATTTTCACACGAATCTTTTTTTTCTTGTTCGTTACTTGAAGCTTCGTTAACGTTTTCTTTTTCCCCAGCCTTTTGGACCAATGAAACGTCTTCAGATGATTTTTGTACATCATTAAGATCAGAATTTGCGCTTTTTTCAACCTTTTCATTTTTATTTTCAACTTGACTAATGATTTCTTCCTTTTTGATGGAAGTTCCATTTTTTTCATTCATGTGAATATTGACATTTTCATCTATTTGATGATCCTTACTTATATCAACATCTTCATTAGAAATTTCCAAAGTTGAATCTAATGATGAAGATACTGAAATAGGTCTGTCACTTGTTTGTTCATCAGGAATTTCGTTCATTTGCTTTCTTTCTAAAGCCTTTTTAAGATTTCTTGAAGTTGCATTTCTAAGAATTTTTTCCATTAAATCGTAACTAATATGTTCCGCGTTGGGAGTTCCGGCTTCATTTTCAACACTTGATATTGAAGATTCTTTAGATGTCGCTAAAAATGTTGAATAAAAATTATATATATTACAAAAAATGGTATAAAATTAATTACCTTGACTATTCTCCAATGAATTACTTGGGCTTGATTCAGAATCGTTGGAAGAGGAATCAGATGAATTTCCTGATTCACTAGATATATCAATCACGTCAACATATTTTGATTGACTATTATTTACAAATTCTGAAAGATGATGATAACTAGGTCTTTCATATTTGGGCAGCAACACGTTGGCTTTCGCACCCTTTAGATTTTTTGCTTCTTTTTGTTCTAATTCTTCACTGTGCTCTTTTTCTTTCATACCACTTTCTGGATCGCTTTCCTCTCCAACACTTTCGTTATTTTTATCACTCTCCCGATAATTTTCATCAATTTTCATAAAGCTATCATTGTTTTGATTCCTCGTATTTTCAATTTTGTTTTCATTTTTTGTAGCGTTTGTAACTTTTACAGCACTTTCTTCGTCATCCGATTCCATAACTTCGAATACTTTTATTCCACCTGTCGAATTTTTATTTTGATCATTATTCTGCTGAGTCATGATGTTTTGCGTAAATCTTTTGTTGTCATATTCAAAATTTTCTGCCAATTTATTTGAGTTTTCTGCTGTATGCGCCCACGAGAAACTGGTAGCATCTATTGTTGTCATTAAAGATTTCCCATTTTCTGCTTCTTCTTTTTGATTAGAAGGAGGAAAGTCATTTTCGCAGTTGGATTTATTTATAATTACATCACTTACTGAAATATCGCCCCAAACAGTTGTTTGATCTGAAAGTTTAACCTGTTTTGAATTTTCAATAAATTTAGAAACCGTATGAGTTACTTTAGATGAGCAGGTTAATGGATTAAATTCATTTGTGTTTGCCTTGTACAAATTTGAATTGTATTCAGTGATTTCTTTAAAATTGAAGTTTTCTGTACTTGTTTTTTCTTTTCCATTACTATGTTTTTGGTCTTTTGTAAATGATATATTCTTTAAGAAATTATTTTCCGTTACCAATCTGCTTATAGGCGGACGTGATGGTGTTGCAGATATGGTGTACGATCTAAATTCTACCGTTTTCTGAGAAATTTCTGGAGGTTTCCGTCTTGCTAACATATCACTATCTGACATTTCTTCAGAATGAACAATTCTTTTTGATGAAATTTTGATATTTTCATTTCTTTTTGGTGGAGTTTCTGATCTACGAATTGGTCGTCTTGCTATTGAGCTTATAGATTTATTTGGATTTACATTTGATAGCTCAAATTGATCAACAATAGCCCCAGAATCTTTTGATATTTCTTTATGTATTGAAACATCTCTGATATTTGAATTAGTATCATTGTCTTTTAAAGGAAACAATCTTGAAATACCGACTGAAGATGTAGACGTGAGATATTCGTTTCCTGTTGTTGGCACAACACTTATTTGTGAGGTCTTAATTGCTCTGCGACGCATGGGGCTTCTGAGTGCTGTAGAGCAATTTAATGTAGTTTTTTCATCCCGTTCAGCTTCAGTAGCTTTTTCTAAATCGCTTATATTATTATTCTGATATATTACACTATCAACTTCATTTGCATCCAGGTTAGGCGATTCTGATAAAAAGTCTTTACAAGTTGCAAATGCATCACTAACATCTTCAACGTTGTCGGGATGAGATAAATAACCATCTAAAAATATTCGATTACGTTTTATCTAACATTTTATCTCATATACTTACGTATGTCATTTTCACTTTCTGTTACTTCAGATGCACTTTCACTTTCGAAATACTCATGCTGAATTCGTTTGGCATTTGATATTTTTACAGGCCTTAAAATTGATTGAGATGTCGGTTTAGACAAACCTTTTGTTTTTAAAATACTGTGAGGTGTAAAGCTTTTATTCTTATCAAATTCAGATCTTTCTTTCGCTACAAATTTACAACTTTCAACTATTGGAGTTTTCAATAAATCGGGAGAATCTGTGCTTCTTTCAAGTTCATTTTTGTTAGATTTTTCCCGTACAAATTTTTTCTTGTCATTTTCATTGAAAACACCTATATTATCAAGTTCTGTTAATCGAATTCGTTTCTTTCGATTTTCTTGAATCGGACTTTCGAGAGGAATTCCATTTGAAGTAAAAGAATTATCAGAGCTTAGTCGTCGTTTTTTTGGTTCTTTAAAAGTTTCTGGATAAGCTAATAAGTCTGCATTTGAAAAGTTTTCGATATACGCTTCCAATTGTGGTTTTCTAACAAATGGAACGTTATTAGTTTGCATCATTCTTTCCTCTCTGTTTTTGGATGCACTTTTTTCGTTCCAATAATTTGAGGCTCCATCAATACTTAGTATCGAGCTCTGAAATAATTCATCGGTGAGGCCCTTTTTATTTTCCTTCAATAATTCCGCGCTGAAAGGTTTCAAACATTTTTCACTATTGATATTTTTTAATTTGTTTGAGAACCCTATTTTGCTACGGATATTATAATAGCATTCATTCAAATTTTTTGAAAAAGGTGTCATAGTACAATTATAAGCTGATAATAGAGTCTTGGAAAGTTCGAAATCACTTTCATTATTCACAGTAGAATTTTGTCGAATATTATTTCCGAATTTCATTTCTTCTAAAAATGTTTTAGCTTCAATGTATTTAGATTTTTGTAGCATGTGCATTAAATAAATATTTTCAGGTTTCGATTTTTTGAAATCTTTCAACAAATCTTCGACAATTTTTTCCTCTTCTTCAGTTAAAGCTAGATCACGCAATATATTCCATTTTCCTAAATATTCACAGCATTTGACAAAAGTTTTTAACAATTCTGGATCGTTCTTGGAGCGAGTTAAATGGAAGGCTTCAGATACTAGATTGTTTGCCATGTAAACTTTAAGTTCTAAAATAGAATTTACAGGTGCTGATTTAGCTTGCAATGCTCTCAGAGCCGAGCTTGGTCTTTTTTGTATAAGTAATGATTCAATCAAAAGTTCTTGTTCCCACTGTTCAAGTTTCCTTTCATGTAAAAAAGGGCATAAAATTTCTTCAAGAGCCACCTTGTGAAAAAAAAACATGAAAACATTTTTTTTTGCACAACTTTTTACTAAAATATTTTAATATTACCTCAAATTTGCCATGATCTAGATTCCAGAAGGCTTGCACAGTTTTTATCAATGATGCATTTAATTTGAATACTGCCGGAAATTTTATTAAATTTTGAACCAAACCAGCATAACTGAAATATAAAGTATAAAAACAAATATAAAGAAAACCTTTTAATTAAATAAATGCGACAATTAAATACATGGATTTATCATACAATTACCTTTCTTCTGTTACAGCCATATTCAAATCTAAAAATATATAGATAAGTAATGCATGCTTTGTTTCCAATGAAACATTTGGAACTAATAAAGTTCTAAGCACAGCTTGCATGCTGCGAGGTGGATAGGCCGCTTGACCAAGTTCAATCTGCCAATGCTCTTTTAGAGCTTCTACATTGCATTTATGTTCAATGAATGAATCAATATATAATATTCGGCAACCGTTTGTCCTTGCTTGTATGAAATCGTGATTGATTTCAAGAAAATGGAGTCGCCGGGTTTTGTAATAATTATTTAATAGTTTGTAAGGGTATGGCACTAGTAACGGGCTTAGGGTAGAATTAGATTCAGTTGAAGATTCAGGTAAACCTTCTGGAAGTAAACCTATGTTAAGTAACCATTGCAGAACATCATGATATTCTGAAGCTATTCGAATTGAATTTAATTCGGAATCTAATCGTTCATATACATGACCAGGTATATGTTGTTTGCAGTTGGTAAGTATTATTTCTAATAAACTTGCCAAAATTTTCAATTGACGAGTTAAATGAAAAAGTTCTTTTTTAGATCTTTGATCCATCAAACGACCAGAATAGTCAAAAAGACATACGCAAATATTATTGCATCGTTGTTTTAAAGCACCGGCTCTTTTCCATATCCAATCCGTAAGTGTTGACAAAGAGAGGCCTTCATTAGGCTTTTGGCCAATGCAACTGCCATCTGCCCAACTGCGTGCACAATCTAAAAAATATTTGTTAACTAAATTATTAAAAAAATTACATTATTTTTACTTTTGAGCAGTCCAATACAATTGTACTCCAATGCGACAGATAACAAGATCTCACGTTGTGTACTCTATAATAACTCAATAATAAAAATTGTACAATTTTTTTATTTTGAATGGCATCCTTACCAAAGAAATTTCCCTTTTTTTCCTCTTTTCTAAATCAAAAAATTGTGGCATTAGATAAGCACATTTAATTTCAGTATAATATGGTCCAGGGTCTAAGATTGCCAACGGTCCCGCTGCATTTAAGTAATCTAAAGCTTTGTATTGTAAGCCAGGCCAATGAAAGAAAACGCTTGCGTTTGATAGCAGAAAAACAAAATCGAATGTCAAAGAAATCGGATAGAAGTGTTCTTCAGTCCGCTGAACGGAATTAAAATGAGAAACTGTGTTTTTATCGAAATAAACATCATAAGTCAGTAAATTTTTCACACGAAAAGGGGATAAATAAGTCAAGTGTTCTCGCCAATCTCCTCCTTCAGGCATTTCTTCTTTATACCATTGATTCATATCAAAAATTAGAAGTTGAATAAAATTTTTTGTTTTCCATGCAAGCATACAAATAGATATAGAATCACCATCATCTTCTCTATTTGAGAATTTTGTTATTGCTTGACATCTTATTGGCAAACTTTCTTTTTCATTCATTGTTAAGACTAATTTAACATGACTGGTTTGAAATTCCTCAAAGAGAATTATTTGTTCATTGTCATCAACAATTTTTTTTTCATATTCAAGACAATGCATTACTGCAAAACATGATTTGGGGTTCTCATGGAAAGCCCATATATAAATCATAGCTTTGGGATCATCTTGCGGTTGTAAAAAAGCCATTTTTGATAAAGGAGATAAATGTTCTTGAGGCAGAACTATATATAAAATTTGAAGTTCTGTTAGATCATAAATAATCATACGACCATCTTCTAGTCCAGCTACTAAACATAAAGCTGGGGGCACTGGCAAAAGTGATAAAACAAAACTTTCTCCTTTCACATCTGTTAAAATTGAATCAAATTAATAATTTGAAATGAAAGCGAAAATTGTTCTTACGTTCTAGTTCAATTCCAAAATTAAAATTTTCTTGTAGTGTGTGTTTGTAATGATTGCTAATATGTGTAAAATCTAATGTACTTTTTACCATATGACAAGGAACAGTATCCAATTTATCATCTCCTTCTTCGAGTAATGCTGAAAAATGTAAAAGTTAAGCTTAGATTTAAGATTTATTTCACTATTCAATTACCAGCTTCGCACTTTTTGAAATTTATATCTAGTAATATTAGTTTTCCAATATCAGTTCCAACTGCTAAGCAACCTTCCATTAATTGAAGAAAATTTCTTTTTGTAATATCTTCGGATATATGAACACAACATGTTATTCTGTCAGAAATCTCAATACATCGTAATATTTTGGAACCTTGCACCGAATAAATTGCTATGATGCTCCTAACAGAATCGCTTATTTGCAGTCCAACTGCTAAAAAACAACAGTTGTCATTTGCACATTCTATTTCTGTTATACTAGTTATAATTGCTTTTTCAAACCTAAAAGTAAATGTTTTAGTTAAATGTTTTATGAAACTTTTCCTTTATCTTATACTTCGAATGACAATCGAAATGATAACTGGATATCCTTTGACCATCTTTAAGAGAAAATATTTCCAAATGTGCGCCAGTAGCCAACCAACTTAATTTACCATCATGAATTATTTCACCAAAGGAAATATCTATACCAAATTAATGAAAATTACTAATTTTTATTATAATAATTATTAAATAATATGAATTAATCTCAACTTTTTCTTATTCACTAAAAATTTTTTTCCCGTAAGTAATACATACCAGAATTAATATCTATCGGATGCGATGAGCCAAATTGTGGAAATTTAATTTTTAATTTTTCAATTAATTCTAAATCACTATAAACCATTATTTTACTATAATTTTAAACAAATTCCCATTGAAACATAAAAAAAAGCAGCTTTAAGTAAAACTAGAGAATATTTCTGAGCTTTGAGTCTTTAAATAAATTAAGAAAAATTTTTCCCAAATTTATGAGCGCAAAATTTTAATAGGTTAACTTTTCGGGAAAAATTTGATAAAATTGACATTTTATCTGGCACTTTATTTTATGATAGTTTTGTCTGACATTTGACAATTAAGGTTTGAGTGTTGTCAAGTAGACAAAATTTTAATATTTTCCTTCTTAAAACAGTACGCTACCTTGTGAGAGATTATTTTACTAAAAGTAAACACTAATGTTTTAATTCGTAATTTCAAATTAACTGTTCTTACTGGTGTCTAATATCTGCCAAAATCTCGAAATAAATAAAACCGCAAAAAATACGAAAATATTTTTAGAAGCAAAATTTTATGGAAACCATTAAAAGTCAAAACAAAAAGATGATGACACGAGCTATGGTATTGCAAGTCGCGTACATTTAGTCCAGGTGCTGCTCAAGCAAAATGCACGAAAAATGTGCAATTTGTATTGGAAAAACACTTCTCACGGTACTAATGTGCACTTTCCAAGACTAACGACCTATTTCAAAAATAATGTTACTTTAATACAAAAAATAAAGCAACACTCATGACCTTCTTAAAAAGTAAGTCCTTAATATACTCTTTTTTTTATATTCTTTCCAACTCCTCTCATTTTTTCTCCTTTCTTTTTATTAAATTAGAAAACGGAATAAAAAAATAAATAATCCAAATAAAACATAAGAAAAAGTAAGAGAAAAAAATGGCATACTATGCTAAAGAATTAAAAATTAAATATCAAATGAAAAGTATGTATACAGTATTTTTTTTCATATTGTGATGTGTATGTATATTTGATGCATAAAACAGTTATCGTATAAAAGAGTGCATAAAAGTTGTTAATAAAATTATTTTAACTTCTTTCTTTCATTCTTTAATAATATAAAATAGAAAAAGGCAAATTACCTTTTTTTTTTAATGTTAATTATAAACCACAGCTAACAGGTATGAATTGAAAGTCTGGTATATTACTTTTTGAACAAAAATTACTGAAAATGATGACGTCATCATTTTCACAATATTTAAAGTTTTTTTAAGTTTTGTAAAGTAAAATTTTAATATTTATCAAACATAGAGAGTACATACAAAAGAAGAACATATCTTTTCACAACTAAAAGTTTTTAAAACACTAAATTTTACTTTACAAAACTTGATCTTCCGACTCCTGTATACATATGTACCTACTTAAATAACTTATACATTTGCATGACATTCTTAATATAATATATGTATGAACAAATGTGTATATATTCTGTGGTAGCGAACCAAAAATGAAGGAAAAAAAATCTAGGAAACAAAAAATCAAATTAATTTATCATTCATTTATGAATTTTAATATGCATACGTAATGGTATGCATGTAATCAATACAAACAGTCACGAGTACTGTTAATATGATAAAAAATCTAGACCTTTTTACCAATTTTTTACATTTTTATAATAAATTTAACAATACTAAAAGTGTACACGCGAGTATATGAACATACGTACAATGTACATGAATGTCAGGGGGAGCAGGAGAAATACATATTATGTATCAGCAATTAAGTACAGTCTGGTATGTATGTATGTATGGAACCAACGAGGTTTCCGCTTGAAATGTTCATTGGCCACCTCATTTTTCTTGTAAAGAATAGAGAACTTTTGCAGCCAGAAACATTATTCAGGCAAAAAAATTTTTGTCAATTTTGGCATAGCTGTCATAATTTCTATCTACTTTGCAACCTGATGTAAAATTAATTGTTTGAAATTTTATTTACTTTACTTGATATGTATGTATATGTTTTTTTCAATAAGTAATACACATATATATATCTACAAGAAAATGAGAAGAAAATTCGCTTTAAAAACATGACATTTAAAATTCAATGAAAATGGTTTTAGTACAGTTTATTTGCAGTATTAATATTAATATATAATATATAGTGTTAATATAACTGCAGTAAAACTTGGAAAACGACTGCATTGTGAAAATACGCAAAGTAATTTAAACACTTTGGATCACTATATATCGTCAGTTGGAAACAAATGAATGTCAAATGAACGAATTTTTTTTATCAAATGCGATTTTTTTACAACGCAGTTTGCTTTTTTACTGCGCGCTTAAAACCCATTTTCAACAATTTGTATCTTTCTACATTGTATACATTTTTTATTCTACGATATGGATTACTGATACGTACAATGCAGTACTATATTAGTACTGCATTTTAAGTGTCAGGGAAAGTTAGAAACTTAAATTTGTACTTAAAGTTTAAATAGTTTTTATGACAAATCATGCTTATAAACGGGTTCAACTGCATTTAAATGAAAATCTATGTATAACTCCATAAACATAATTAAATTGATCAAAATGAGAACGTGAGTAAGTCTTTGTCTTAAATTTCCTTGCATATGTACATGTGCATTGATCATACTAAAAAGTTTGAGCTCAATTTCTAATTTTAGTGACTTAATCCCAGATAGAGAATCAAGTTACTCAAATTTATTCGTGTAAGACAATAAAGAAAACATTTCGCATACAAACTTATTCTTACACATACGCACGCAAATATTCTGTACTTGCGTAACCGTTTTAATGGGTTACAATTAAAATCAGAGAATGACTACAAAAATATTACAAAAACAAAAAAAAAAATAAATCACAAACCGTTATATTTTCAAAACCAATTATTTATTAGTGAAATAAAATCTAAAAATATCCTTCCCAAAAGAAGAAAGAAAGAGAAAGTAAGAAAAGTGAAAGAGGGTGGGAAATAAGTGAAAAAGGACTAGAAGGTTAAGAAGGAAGTAAAAAAATTGATTTTTATTTTTAATTGCAGACTTTGGTCATGACAACTAAGGGCTAAACGTAATTTTATATTAATAAATCAATAATTAAATCACCTTTCTGCAATACTTTGGTTTTGGTATATTTTCTGAAGGTATAGTTATTATGCAGAAGAGAAGAGTTTGTTTGAAGTAACATTAGTTTGTCATTTAGTCTCTGAACCTTTAAAACAGCAGTTCAAAACTATTTTATTCTCTAATTTTAAATCTGACAAGTTAACAGCAGATATAAGTTATTCTTTCACTACACAAAAATTTTAAAAGTGCCTAAGTTTTGAAGTAGGTATACTACTATATTGCTCCTTAATAATGTTCATTTCGGCATAATAAACCAAAGTTTTGTAGTTGCCAAGTTTATTTGTATCTTGTAGAATATATATATGTAGCTTAATTCTGCAAACAAAAATATAATATCAAAAATATAATAATAAATGTGCGTTATTGCTACTCTCAATTACTCCTTTATATTGGGTAAGGTGTATAATCCGGAATGTTATTCTAGTACGTCTGAAGTATGTTTAGAATGTTATCTTTTCTAATAAGGAACGCAAAAGATATTTACATACTGCACACATAAGCCGTTTCCGAGTAAGTCATGGGATCTGATGATCATGTTAATCACGTCATTCGTTTAGTTTTGCAAATAATAATCATATGCAATTAGACAATTTTCACAATTGACATTTTAAAAATTGTTTTAATAAGGCGGAAAATTTAAAATTTCCAAATTAAAATGTTTTCTTCGTCCTATATTTTGTCACATTTAAAAAGCACTTATGCCCCAGTGCTTAAAGGAATGGAAGAAAAACTAAAATAATAATCAGTTGCAATTGCAACGGGTCTTGGAATTTATGACGCGTACATCATGTTGCGTGGAATTCATGACTAGCGCATTTAATATACTGCGGCCATAAATGTAAGTTAATATAAATGTGATATTCGAAACTATCTATGAGATATTTAACAGCTATCCTAAATTTAAATTTAGTAAAAAAATCAAAAATATTAAATTTAACTTTACTCACGATATACACTCTCTATATGCATATATGTACATATATGAGCTCTCATGTATGAGCTTATTTATGTACAAAGAAGTGTACATAATATTTTATAATAAATTTAAAAATAAAAATAGAAAAACGAAAATATCCTTTTAATGAGCAGAGCATGTATATAGAATGAAGTCATTTTGAATCTTGTTGTCTGATATTATTTAAAGGATATAAAATTATTGGATTTAGTAGTTGATATTTTGTATTTTGCTTGTATGGAAGAATGTGGGTATGTGTAAAGTATTTTTAATAAAAACCTTTAAATAACCATTTAAAAAAAATATTTTTATAGAAAAGGAAAATAAGTCGGTAAGAAAAGATTTTTTTATTCTTTAAGTGAGAAACGATGAGGTTACAAGTTTCTACAATAGAATTGATTTACAATAGAATTCCATTTTAATTTTCAAGGTCGTTTTACTTTGTAATTTTGATTTTTTTTTTGTTTTGCAATAGAAATTTGCGTATTAGTTTGATGGTTATGATTGTGATAAAATAAAAAACAAATTAATTATTTTGGTATTTGGGCTAAAAAAATTTCATGTGGTTATGCCTTGTCAATAAATTTCTAATTAATTATTTTTCAGATGAGATGAGTGATAAATCTTATGAGATGAATCTTTCAATCAACAATTAGTAATATTCTTAAGTTAAGATGAAGGTACTTGCAGTTTTATGTATTTATTATTGGGTAATTATTAGGTAATTACTCGTCGATTGTGCAGATGAGGAGACAGCTGAATGGCTGATCAAACAAGCGCCAGTTCTGGGTACATGGAGCGGACCAGAATTGATGGCAAGGAAGGGAGATGACATCCCAAAGCCTTGTGTAATCACTGTCTTTGTCCCTAGGAGCGGGGGCCAAGCCTGGGAAAAAATGCTGGCCATCTTCCAGGCGCAAAAAGGGGGAATACACACCCGGGTCTGGAAGCTGATGGGGCAGCAAGAGGACGGTGGCGGAAAGCTTCTCCAAATAGGGATCGATGACTCTTCCGCGGAAGCCATCAGACGGGGCGGTCACATTCTGCGGTACCGGTTCGGGAAAATCCCTGTACACGGCTCAGAATGGGGCAGCCCGAAAGATCAGGGTTGATGGAATCCTCGGCGGGCCGGGTAGAATCGCCACGGGAGTCATATGATCCCAA